TGAGATACCTGAAACGATATATCACTTTTCGTAAACATGTATTAGACTGTTAAAAGACACATCATTTGGAACTGCTGCAAGTGAATGGTATATCACTCATTTTTGTGGATATTGATGGATACATTCCTTGAACAAAGTAATCGCCTGACATTGTTCTTATAACTCTAATCTGTTTTAATTTTAATAATTGCATTTTGGTTTTTTTTCATTTTTCGTAGCATTCCACAGAATCATTGTTTTCGTCGTGAAGTAATGACAACATACACTAGGGCGTGTGCGAATTATGATTTACATTGGCAAACTATAAAATGTCTAGATATTCCAGTTATAAGTATAGGCAGATCGCCTACAGATTTTTATTTAGTTTCAAAATGCATACAAGTATGATAATAAACTAATTAGGATAATAAGACCAAATATAAAGACGCACGTTGACTAGTAGCTACATACTGGTGAGTGGACGTTTACCACGTGAATGTAGCAAGAAATTTATTGGGCAGTATTGTCACTTCCTCGCTTCCGAGGAAGAAATCGTTATGTTACAAGTTGTGTCATGCCAAATCCTGTTGGCCATTTCTCAAATACATGTTTAACTACGAGTAGAAAGTAGTTTCGATTTTCTAACTTGTGAAAACAAACCATAATCTCATTAATTCTTTAACAGACTTTAGCCCGTGATGTTACGATTATTAAAAACATCCGCCAGTCTGAGAATAAATGCTATTTAGGTTGGTTTTCACCGAGTTACAAAATCAAAACTACTTTCTACTACTAGTAAAATCTATATTTGATTGATGTCAAATAGGATTTTTGAATGACATATCTTATAACATAACAATTTCTCTCGTGGAAGCGAGGTGGAATGTCAATATAATACTACTTACAATATTATTGCCACTTCCACCACAACCTCGCTTCCGAGAAAGAAATCGTTATGCTTCAAGTTGTGTCATGGGAAATCTTTTTGGTCATCAATCATATATTTATTGTACTAATACTAGTAGGTTGTTTTGATTCTTTAACTGCCGCGAAGCGATCTGAACATATTTAAGATATCGTTCCAAGCTTCCACAAACGCTCGCTTCGCACTCACAAACATAACCCATCTAGCACGAACTACGGGGTCCGGTGGAAGTTAGTGCATGGTGACACCATCACTCGACCCCCTAGGAGGGCAACGCAACGACTGATGGCAACGCAACGATTGATGGCAACGCAACGATTCGTTTTGCCTCGAGTAGGTTTCGTTGTTCAGACCATCCTTTAATGTTGGAATATGGGCGAAAAGTAAATATAAAACAACATGAGCGATTCTGCCCTCTGTGTATTGTACTTACCATTGAATCAGAGTACCAATTCTTTATTAAATGTTCATTTTACTGTGATCTGAGAAACAGCCTGCTACAACAATACTACATAAATAATCCATGTGAAACTAAATTTATCAACTTATTATTGTCTTCCAATTCTACAACTGTTAACAATCTTGCTAAGTTTATATTTTTTGCATTGACAAAAAGAGCGAAGTTGTCGAATATAGAGTATAAGGTTAAATAAGACATTGTACATGTAAACATACAGCTTAATATTATATATGGCGCTGGATTGTATTGTTATCTTCATAATTGTATAACGGGTCGGTGGCCCTTGTACGAAATTAACTCTCACTCACTAGATATAAGCTTACGATGACACATACCTAAACTAAACGTGACAAAATTCACTTTTCACCTAAAACATTGAACATTTAAAATGTGTTCACCACTGCAATTTCGACTAGTCAAGTCGATTATCCTTTCGTTAACCCCTTAAACAATCATTACTAAAACAACACCAAACATCAAAGACTACCGCCAGTCGCCTTAACGACCCCATGAAAGACTCATGCCGCCCCATGCCACTATTGCAATTAGCCCATGCAGAACAATAATTTACCATCACCCACCAGTTATCTCCCCTTGCGGATATTTCCAAGATTGGAAATTTTTGGAAACATCATCTTTCCAAAATTGGAAAGTCTTGGAAACATCATCTTTCCAAAAATTGGAAATGTCTTGGAAACATCATCTTTCCAAGACATTTCCAAGCTTGGAAAGATGGATTTTTTTTCCAGTGCCTGTTAGGCGCTAGAAGGTTATAGTCATATGACTTTTTTCCACCGGGTACCCATTTTCCTGCTGGGTGAACAGAGGCAATTTTGAACAAACTCACTTGCCTAAGGTGAGACCACATGTATCACATGTGCTTCGTTGTGGGGCAGGACTCAAGTCCTAGAAACTCTCAGGAGTCAAGCTGCCAAACACGGTCACCCATCCAAGGACTCTCCGAGCTCGACGCTGCTTAACTTCACCGATTTGTGACCTGAGCTTTAAGCACAGGACCACGCGCCACCACTTGGCAATGTCTACTCGGTCTACTTACCTCAGCTCAAGACATGACTCGCAGAGGGAGGTTACAATTGCGCCCACTACAAAGATTTGTGACCGCTCATCTGAACAGTTTGGATCCGCTGATATTACCGGACGACCTGAACCCATACCTACTATGGTGGACTCAGAAGTCGAATGTTTGCGGAGGAACCGTTTTCACAGATCCTGCCTGCAACACTCATCTTTACGTAGATGCGTCACTTCAGGGATGGGGCGCTCACCTCGACACCGAAGTGACTCCACAGTAGCATTTTACATCAACAAACAGGGATCAACAAGATCCATAAGTTTGTCAAACGTCACCTTTTATCTGTTCAAGAAACTGTTACCAACATTCGCCTCACCAGTACCGGATCCTCAGGCATGGACAACAGACGCTCTAAGCATCTCATGGGAGGGACCAAATACGTACACGTTACCACCTCCAGTATTAATACCACAAGTACTAAAGAAAATCAAACACACGACAGCGCTACAACTGATTATGGTCGCACCCTATTGGCCAGCGAAGGTATGATTTCCCGTCCTCATTCAAGAACTAGGAAATCCAAGCCTGAAACTACCAGAGTGGTCGAACCTTCTCGTCCATCCGCACACCAAGCACGCTCACGGGAACCCTGTATCAAAGCTGGTACTCCACCAGAGCGGCAAAAGCAGTAACACTTGCTCAACGTTGTTGAACTCGCTCGTTTTATGATGACAAATGGAAGAGATTTGAGTTATATGCAAGACGGAAAGGATGTTCTGCTTCTAGAGTATCTCATCCTCAAGTGGCGGAATATTTCTGTTATCTACGACAGACGAGACGTTTAAAAGGTTCTACACGCTCAACCTACTTAGCTGCGCTCAGTACAGTTATCACCATGAAAACAAGTGTTAAATTGACCAGAGTACCAGAATTACTGGCCTTATTACGCTTGTTCAAGTTAGTAGACCAACAAAAGAAATTTAAGGCTCCTGCTTGGGATCTCAACATAGTGTTGCAACATCTTACAAGCGACGACTACGAGCCTCTAGAGCGGACATCCTTTGAACTGAGCGGACACGATTTGAAACAGGTCATCGTAATATTGTACATTTAGGACTAAGATGGGATTTTATTGCAAAGAATCAACTGCCCGGCCAGCCTGACAGACAATTCCATATACCAGCATTATCCAATGTCCTTTGTCCAGAGGATACACAAGATTTATCCTTCTGTCCAGTCAGAGCTTTGAAAATCTATTTAAATCGAACATAAACAAGGAGACGAAATTTCAAGCACCTTTTCATTCCCTTATCTACGGAAACTCCCACAGAAGTCTAACGAACAACCATATCAGTTTGGATGAGAATCGTTATACTAAGGGCCTATAAAGCAGCAGGACTTGAACCTCCACGAGCCTCCAATCCACACGAAGTTAGAACTCTGGCGTCTACACTCGCTCTACATGGAAATTGCTCGATTACAACTATAATTGAGAGCTGCTTTTGGAAATCTGATATGGTGTTTGCCAACTATTATCTCAGAGACATCGCCACCGAGGACGTCTCAGACATTCATCAATTCGGGCCACTTGTTGTAGCACAACAGCTAATGGTTCCACAAAGGCGCTGAGAAAATCTCACCCTTTTTATCACATGACTTATTGATACCATCGCTCCGAGAATTAAATAGTTGAAAGTCCATGTGAACGTCTAAGACAGGCTAGCATGAGTGATTAAGACCCTGTACTTGTATAGGAATTACTCGTACATAAAATTAAAAGGGTCACATCTCCACTTGATGTACGCATCAAGACACCGAGTTGTGAAAGATAACTAGTAAGACACTAGTATATCTATATCCACACTATAAAGTCAGAAGAACCTTTCATAAGAAAGTCTGACAAATTGTGGTCCCCCTGATAAATCAGAGGATAGTGTGAAGAACAGGATTGTCATAGTGCTGTCATAGTTCCCATGGTGGTGGTGGTGGTGTGTGTGTGTGTGTGTGTGTGTGTGTGTGTGTGTGTGTGTGTGTGTGTGTGTGTGTGTGTGTGTGTGTGTGTGTGTGTGTGTGTGTGTGTGTGTGTGTGTGTGTGGGGGTGGGGGTTGGTGGGGGTGGGTTGGGGGTGTTGGTGAGGGAATTCAGGACATAAAACAACAGCCAGTGAATTCAAGAGGTGGTCTGACCCACCACCGTTGGATTCTGTTAGCATATAACCATGAGTCAGGATAAGGAAATATATGTATTTGTCTGAATAAAATTGATATTTTATACTTATTCTGACTCATGAGGTCAACTCCACCCAACCTCCCCTCTCATGGCACTCTGAATTTCACTGCAAATCCTAATTCGGAGAGAGTGACAAACATAGCCGGTCATGTGACCTATAAGGGCGCTAATTTGGGAAGGCAAGGGAGGCTACTCGTGGGTGAGTAATGATTCTACGTCCTCCTCTTTGAATGGAACTTCAAGGGATTTCAAGTGTTCCACTATCTTTCGGATAGAAGAGGGAGACAACAATGAGTCAGGATAAGTATAAAATATCAATTTTATTCAGAAAATTACATTTTGCGACAGTAAATATTGCTAATCAACATTTTTAGAACTCCCGAACGTGGGCTGTCTAGCCAGTGTGGGTGTGGCGTACACGCTTGTCTGTGTCCTCGCCGTGCTGCTGATTATAGCTGTATATCTCCTGAAGAGGTAATTAAGCTCACATATAACACGCTTACAAAACACTGCAAACACTCTAAAAAGCATTATGGTGTGTAACATGACAACACTGTGCACATCACAGTACAAAACATAACAGAATGCAATATTAAAACCACTGGTCAACGATACAACCATTACAATCAGTAAGATTACAATGCATTGCAATCAACAGTGTTATAAATCCTCATACCATCAAAAAATATAATAGTTCAAAACATTTCAAAACGTTCAAGATTTTCATTTTTCAGACGGTAACAAACATTTTACAGCACGACAGAGAATGCCATCAATGTACTACAGACAATTAAGACCTTTAGAAAACATTACGTTACACGGGAATAAGACATTACTTTACTGTGCAATCGTTAGGTGACAGTGTTACAAAGCATAAGAGTTTGACAGACAGACAGACAGATTTATTACAGTATAAGGCCTCGGACCCTTATTCCAACGAAAAGTGTACACAGCATGTTTGGGCCCATAACAATTTACCATTACTATTTTCACTTATTTCGGGGGTGCCCATCACATCGGCAAAAGTGAGACGATTCGGGACATTTTTAACATGACTATTTTTAATTAAAACTTAAGCTTCTGGGAGACAAAAACAGGTCATTTATATTCATTTTGACTTATATTTTACAAATGTTTTGTTGAAAACATGTTATGTGTTAAATACTAGTCAAACTGGATGAACAGAAGTTTATTAATCTGTTTGCCAAATAGTTCGAGAATAAATCCCCTGAAATGATTTTGTCTAGGGCTTAATTCGTAATTTTGGTAATTTTGATTTCAAGTGGGTTTTTGCGTTACCTACGAATACAGTTGTCAATGATAAGATTTAGCTCAATGTCAATTTATGTAAATCATTTTCAACACAAGGTTATGTTTTGTATTAATTTTCATTGACAGTTTACTAAGCATTAATATGTAAAGTACTCGGAAATGCAATGGCGTTATACTAATATTTCTTACAAGTACAACTTGATAGCAATAATCTGAAAAAAATGTTACGAAAATCAAAGTTTAAATAATTTGGTACATAAATCACGTTACCTACAAATACCATTAAACATGGTGTTGTTTCCACAGATGAACACATTTACCTAGTGAAACATGGTGTTGTTTCCACAGATGAACACATTAGTGAATGATATCCTAAGTTCAAGTGTAAAGGCCCACAAGTTATACGTGTGCCACATCTGAAAATTTTCTGTGCTGTTTTTACGAAGATATCACACAAAATAACCGGTATTTGAAGGTAAATTTTAACTCCCAAATGTTACCTACAAGTATCAACAACTGATCACATTCAAATAGATTGATAGAATGGCAATACGTGACATGTGTTCCATTTGGAAGTCATCATAGATGTGACCAGACAACATATTGGTGATTAGTAAGTGTATTTTACATTTTCTGTAAGAATGTTATATAAATAAACCCATGTCACAATAAGATAGGATGCATATGACACCTGTTACAACTAACCAAATTTAATTTTAGTGAGGTTTTAAGTCTTGTTATTGTAAAATAAGGCCACAGACTGCAAGTGAAATTGACATGGGGGCTCAAACTGGTAAGACATGGTGTCCCGCTGGGTTGTGGCTCACGGTATTTGTACGTAACATGTATTCGTTGTTAACAAAATGAAATAGAGAACACAATACGCTGCTATAACATAATTCATACTGAAAACAATTATTGCAGATCATAAAACTGATAAGGTACGCAGTACTGCATATTAGTAGATTGAAATGGTTCCTTGGAATTTCAAATGGCTACATAACTGAGCGTTCAATAAAAATGTTCTATTCAGTGATGCACTTCAGTTCGTGGTTTAGACTTTATTATAGTGATATAATGAATTCTCTTTGATTGAAAAGTCAGAAAACAAGTTGATCTTGGTGATAAAAGTAAACGTTTGCTTGATATCACGCGATAAACGGTAGATTCGTTGGTAACATGTGTATTCGTTGGTAACATGTGTATTTGTAGGTAACATCAGTCAGTGTGTTTGAAGTTGTATATCTTGTTCAGGACTGTCACCGATGCACTTGCGAACATAGGAGAATTGAGACTTTAGTAGAAGTTAGTTGCATGGGTTTAGTAATTAGATTTGTCAAAGGTATGTCGTATTCGTAGGTAGCTCGTTTTTGTAGTTGAAACGTTCTGTAAATGTCTATCTAATAGCAATTTTCATTGCAAAATATGGGTAATTAAAGCAGTGTTGTAGTTCAGTAAGACGCATAATGTATTGATTGTTTTAGTGAGATGTTTATCTGTACATAATGGTATATGGTATACGGTAATAGTTCAAGCGTTTTAAACATTTGTGATGTGCTTTCTTTGGATACAAAAGTCAGTTGAAACATTTGGTAAATACAATTTCAGATGTATTGATTTTAGTTCAATTTCTGTACTTCTCATCAGACGTTTAGACTCACTAGTGTAAATATAGCGACTTACTTCAGGCGACTGTTTTAAACTAAATTTGCAAAATATTCCATACTGTTTAAAGGAACTGTTTACACATGAACTGATGTATTGTAAAACAAATTCGTAACGTTGAAAACATTATTGTCATGAGTTCAATAAATGATAACAATCTGTGAAAATTGGCGAATTCCGAACAAAACTTTACACCAAAATGCAGCTGTTCACATGTACGATATTTGCACAAGCTTTTCAGCAATTTGATGCATGATCCTTGTGCAATTTATCTGCATAAGGTTTGCAGTTGGTTTTCCAACTATACATATATAATTACAAGGTGCAAGCAATTCTATTGTGGACCCCGTGTACCTAGCTGTGTACACTTTTCGTTGGAATCGACCATATGCATGTCTCCCTCTTCTATCCGAAAGATAGTGGAGCACTTGAAATCCCTTGAAGTTCCATTCAAAGAGGAGGACGTAACATCATTACTCACCCACGAATAGCCTTCCTTGCCTTCCCAAATTGGCGCCCTTATAGGTCACATGACCGGCCATGTTTGTCACTCTCTCCTTCATCGCCCTGGAGGATGGTTGTGAAGGCACCTGGGTCCCTATACGCCACTTTTTCTAGGATATTTTGACCTTTTTACATCTAAATTTCAGCTGTATACGGTTTTGGGCTTATATAGTATCAAAATGTTATGAAATTATATCATAATATTACGTATTTTGTACGTTGTTGTTATTTACATTTGATGACAACGTATTTTCTGATTGATTATGTCCATTTTGCTCTCGCTGTAATGTTTGTCAGAAATTATTGAATTTTGAAATTAATAATTAAATTGTTTCTGTTCATAGATGAGCAAAGGACTGGGTAAGAAGGTATTCTAAAGTCATGTCTGGTAAATCAAATGATTGCGCTATTAACCTTGTGCTGGTTACTGATATTGATGTTCACTGTTTCTTTGAATCGCCAAGCGTTCCACTGGGCAGACGTCCGTTCCAGCCTTGGTCTCCGGTTCCTCCAAGAAGAGATCGGCGTCAGCAGAGCTGTCATCGCAGACAAAGATGCACAGATCATCACAAACTTTGTGGAAGTCTCTACTTAGATATACTTCGAAGACCAGGTCTTTCTCTCAGGAGATTGTACCTCCGGAGGAAGCGGACGTCTTTGATGACCCTCCGATACTGTCACCTGAAATAACAATCATCGGTAGAACATCGCAGCCTGCTGCTTCACATACATCAGCGAGATCAGCAACTACGTCAGCGCAGATTATGAATGAGGACCTTCTGTCGACGCAGACATCCGGTACCAGACACGCTAAGAGCGTCAACTCTTCTCAACTACATCAAGAAGAGGCATCAGCATGCTCTCAAGCATCATCTACCCTGCAGCAGTCGCAACATACGTCGCAGAATTTCGACCCGGGATTGTTCATGAAACAATTCACGGAACAGGTGATGTCTCTGATGGAGCGCAGATTTGCACAGGAGAAACCTGCTACTAAGACACCTCCTAGATCTACCAGCCTGCACGAAGGCACAACAGCTGTTACAGCTGTATTGGATGAAGAGGAAGGCCTGCGCGAAGGCTCACACTCCCGGAGATCTTCACCGTCCGAAGTTAGAAGTTTAAACAACACTGCTAACATCAGGAGAGACGCTTCACGCAGAATCGCATCAAGTCATTCTCCTAGATCCTACCATCTTCACAGATTACGGATCGTTGTCACCATCAGACTCAGAGCCTGCGCGCAGGCAATCTTCACTTCAGAGGGAAGACCCTACGTCAAGAAATCAACCTGTGCGAAGATGCAGAGAGTCTACACAAGACACTAGGTAGGATTCCCGTTTGCAGTATCCTCGTCCTGAAGACTCTAGGAGGGACACGCACCGAGATCACTCACCCGCACTCAGGCTTGCGTGCAGATATGACTCATCGGATCGGGAAATGATGGATGAAGTAGCCTCATGGATTGCAAACGGTCTGGAACTAGAGTCGCCATCTAAGTATACGAATGAAGCATTCACCTAAAAGATGTATAATAACGACTTCGACACGCTCACCTTTCCACCTATCGACCTGGTCTCTAAGATAACTGATAATCTCAAGGCAGCCTTCGATAACGCCACTAAAAGCCAAGGTCAGCATGTCCTGTCGTTTAACAGCAGGAGATTTCCTTTGCATCATATGGAACCTTTCTTCAAGGCACCTGAGATCGACGAGGATTACAAGATCATCAATGAGTCCCGCAATAAATCCTACAAAATAGAGGATAAGAAGATAGCACAATTGGATACGACTATAAGACGTATCTTTTTTGGATTAGCCAGATCTAGAGCTATCAACGAGGCGCTTATCTCGAATTCAGGAACCTCGACTTTCGAAGAGCACCGGATGATCTTTTCTGCTCTACTGATTTACAAAAAGGATCAGCAATTTATCTCGGAACATCTGGCATCTACATCAGCGGGCCTAACGCTCTTGAGAAGACAGGGTTTATTATCGGCGTGTACCTGCAGCGAACGGTTTACTAAACCATTACTCAGAGTCCCATGGTCAGCATCATCTCTCTTTGGAGGAAAAATTGAAGAAATTGCCAGGAATGTTACACACGATTCAAGAGAGGTTATGATGATCCAATCCATAGATACCTTGACAAACGTTATTCGTCAGACGTCTCAGCGCTACTCATACAAGTCTAAATTCTCGGGAGTCCAGAAGGCCAGAGAAAAGGAATATTCCAGCTCTAGAGGCGGAAGAGGCTCTTTTCGTCGCTCAACCAGGATTCATAGGATCACCTCTGGAAGAGGACGTGCTCCCAGAGGTAAAAGAGGAGCAAGACGCTGAAGGTCAGGTTTGGAACGACTGGACACTTCCATCCCCAGCTGTTCCTGTACAACCGTTGACAGTGGGTGGACATCTGCAACGGTACTGGGAAAATTGGGGAATACTAGAGGACGACTACGTGTCTCAGATATTACGCAGAGGATACAAGGTACAGTTAGAAGCCATCCCACAACTCACAAGCAATCCACTTATCTCCAATTACGCGACCGAACAGAGAGAGAAACTGGACGACGCTATCAATACACTGCTTGACAAGGCTGCAGTCGAAGACATAATTCAAGAGCATCTCACGCCCGGCTTCTACTTTCCTAGTAGCGGAAAAGAATTCCAAGGAGAAATTCCGACTCATTTACAACATGAGAAATTTCAACCAGGATTAGGGGTAGTCTAGTGATTAAAGTGTTGGCTTGTCACGCTGAAGATCCGGGTTCAAATCCCCACATGGGTACAATGAGTGAAGCCCATTTCTGGTGTCCCCGCCGTGATATTGCTGGAATATTGCTAAAAGCGGTGCAAAACCAAACTCAGTCAGTCAACCAGGATTATCTTCGCAGAAGTTCAAGATGATTCATCTTCCTCAGCTCCGACATCTTGTTCGTCCGTTAGACTACCTCGTCTGCATAGATCTACAGGATGGTTATCTACACATCCCTATACATCCAGACTCAAGGAAATATCAAAGATTCCTATTCAAAGGTCCTCACTTCCAGTGGAAGGTGCTACCGTCTGGAATATCGTCAGCCCCCTGGTTGTTTACTCGGGTGACCAAACCCATCGTCATTTATCTACATCGTCGAGGTCTATGCAGTGTTTTCTACCTGGACGACGGGCAATGTCTACTCGGTCTACTGACCTCAGCTCAAGACATGACTTGCAGAGGGAAGTTACAATTGCGCCCACTACAAAGATTTGTGAACGCCCATCTGAACAGTTTGGATCCGCTGATATTACCGGACAACCTGAACCCATACCTACTATGGTTGACTCAGAAGTCGAATGTTTGCGGAGGAACCTTTTTAACAGCCCCGACCTGCAACACTCACCTTTACGTAGATGCGTCACTTCAGGGATGGAGTGCTCGCCTCGACAACGAGGTGGCAGCAGGGAAGTGGACGAGTCAGGATCAACTTCTCCACATCAACCAATTGGAGATGAAAGCAGTGATCAACGCCTTACAACACTGGTCGAGGATACTGAGGAACGCAATGATTACGGTCCACATGGACAACTCCACAGTATCGTTTTACATCAACAAATAGGGATCAACAAGATCAATAAGTTTGTTAAACCTCACTTTTTATCTGTTCAACATCGTAGACGATCTGAACATCTACATAAAGGCGAGTCACATCCCAGGAGCAAAGAATGTTATGGCAGACGCTCTATCTCGTCCACTACAACCATCCCCGACGGTATGGATGTTACACCCAGGAGCATTTCGGCTCATCATGCAGACAATAGGATCCCCTCTGATAGACCTTTTGGGCTTTAAATTCGGAGAGAGTGACAAACATGGCCGGTCATGTGACCTATAAGGGCGCCAATTTAGGAAGGCAGGGGAGGCTACTCGTGGGTGAGTAATGATTTGACGTCCACCTCTTTGAAGGGAACTTCAAGGGATTTCAAGTGTTCCATTATCTTTCGGATAGAAAAGGGAGACAAGCATATAATCATAACTCAGGATAAGTATAAAATATCAGTTTTATTCAGAAAATTACATATTGCATGAATTTTAGTTTTAAAGTTCATGAAGTTACACGACGTGCGTTGAACACTTTGTACAGGAACATAGCTGTTTCATTTAAGTGGATTGCATAAGCTGAGCGAATCTATGGAATGATGGATTTTCAAAGAAATGTTGGCTGATATACGTTTCCCTTAGATGATGATACTTGGCACAACACAGGAGAACATGGTAATCAAGTTTGAATTAATAGTTGTGCACATTTCACATAATCTTTGGCTGCGGGGTATATTTATACTGTATTTGGAAACACATCAGTTTACTGCATTACAAAACACGACCGTTTACTGCATTACAAAACATAACCGTTTACTGCATTGCAAAACACAACAGTTTACCGTTACAATATTACAAAACAACCGTTTACTGTATTACAAAACATAAGAATTTACTGCATGACAGAACACGTCAGTTTACTGTTGACGTATTACGAAACATAAGAGTTAACTGCATTACAAAACACGACAGTTTACTGCATTACAAAACACGACAGTTTACTGCATTACAAAACACGACAGTTTACTGCATTACAAAATACCATTACGAAGTATAACAGTTTACAACTGTACAAAGCATTGCACACATTTTATAGATAGTCTGGTCTTATTTATATATTGCTACAGTTGAAAGCTATTTCCTTAAATTACTAAGATAACTATGTTGCCTTTTTAGTTGATAACTGAGGTTACATTGTGTTTGTAATGCACTTTGACCACATTTCACAGACGGAAACAACGAATGACGAATGTTGAAGTCGCCACAACTTCGCCCGATGCCATTATTAATCCAGCATTTCTGGGTAAGTATAAGTGCATTGAAATTTGAAAACGAGAAAAACTCTCTCTCTATTCATAAACAGCTTTGTACATTTATATATGTATACGATTTTGTTTTGGAATAATTACGAAAGCCTTAGATGTGTTCACCCCATTCCGAGTAGGGGTAGTATGACCTTCTATTGTAAGTGAAAACATATGGTACAAGTCAAAAAGGGAAATTGTTTTGAACATAAAGTATATTGAGTCAAAAAAGAAACTTCACATTCTTTCTTCAGGGCACTATAAAAGAACAAGAGATGGTAAGATGGTTAAATTGTTATTATTTCATTGCTGAGATCTGTGTGATGTACTCGATACACTGACAGTGCCATAATCAGTTCCATTAGGCTACACCGCCGTTCCAAAACATGGGTATACAGAATGTCAAGTCACAAGAATAAAAATGCGAAATTTCTCAGTTCAATATCGTGTATGACGGCCCCGCGCATTCACCACTGCCAAACACCATCTCCTCATCGACTGCCTGATGCTTGTGAACACGTGGTTGGGGATTCTGCCCCATTGCTCTTGCAAGGCAGCGCCAAGTTCCTGCAAATTCTGAGGTTGGTTCCTAAGACCACGAAGCCTTCTCCCAAGTGCATCCCAAACGTGCTCTATTGGATTCAGGTCAGGGGACCTCGATGGCCAGTCCATGACGTTGATTCCAGCGTTTTGAAGGAAATTTCGTGTCAACATCGCGGTATGCGGCCGAGTATTATCATGCTGGAACTGTAGACCTGGGCCATGAGCCGCCATGAAAGGAACGAGTTCAGGGGTGAGCACCTGGTCGCGGTAAGCAGCAGCTGTGAGGTTTCCACGGATGACCAGAAGTCGGGAACGGTTGTTCCCACAGAAAGCACCTCACACCATGCAACTTCCGCCCCCGAATCTGTCGACTTCCTGTACACAACATTGGGCATACCGTTCATGACGTCGTCTCCAGACTCTATGCCTGCCGTCCGCGAATCTGAGGGTAAACCTGGATTCATCGCTAAAGACGACTCGATTCCAGTCTCTCTGGGTCCATCGGAGGTGACGTTGGGCCCACAGCAGACGTTGACGTTGATGAAACGGCGTCAATATTGGCCCACGATATGGACGTCGAGAATGGAGATTGGCAGCCCGCATCCGATTTCGAATGGCCTGTGAGGAAAGTCGACCTCTAAACATCTCAGCCCTGGTTCGTGTAGCCGGCAGAAATCTGTCACGTAGGTGACGTAGGACGATTTGACGGTCTTCTGCTCGTGACGTCACACGTGGACGACCCGACCTTGGGCGATCAGAAGTGGTGCCAGTTTGTTGTAGACGACTTCGCAAGTCATACACAGTACGGCTGCATCTCATTGCTCTTGCGACGTCAATAAATGATCTTCCCGCTTGCAACATGCCAACGGCACGTTCACGTTGCACATTTGACAATCGTGGCATTTCAAGTACCGTTAGAACTGTGGTTTAAAAGTGTTTTTTTTCAATTCTTTAGGCCAATGCAAACACGTGCATATGAAGAAAACTTCGATTCGAAGATCACGTGATCGACTGCACGTGCAAAACCTGATTTAGCACTAACGTCATTTGCACGACGAATGGATGGGTTTGAGTGGGTTTTGCTAACGTTTTTCTAGAGTCGAAAGATAGGGATCCCATTTCGGATACATAGATGTATCATCAGAGAAAAATTATTCATTATTTTTCAAATTACATTTTGTGAAGTTTCTTTTTGACTCAGTATATGTAACAACATTTTTGAAAGTTTTACTGAGGTATTTATTGTTGCAACTTTTAACATATGAACAAGACTGTTCACGATGCTTTTCGTTCTTCAGTATCACAGTGAATAGTTCGTCACTCTGAACCTTAAGGCAGTGATCAAAATATGGAATGGAATATGTGAGTCCTCTCAATGCTAACCTTGATATCGCGATCAGCGGAAAGCAACTGGCTACACGATCTTTATCACATCAGGTTATCTTTACAGCCTTTAGTGAAACGTTTTTTGTTTAATTGCATTGCTCCTAGTCCGAGCAGATGTTCCTCACATACTCTTAAAAAACAGAAACGTACTGGCCAAAAATAAGGAAATATTATTACGCAGTTAAGTGTACATAAGTCGATTATATTTGAACATAGATGAATGAAACTGGACATACGGATGAACATGTTATTGTTGTTATAGTCAGCATTACTTCAGTTCACTCACTGCTCATATGTGGACACAAGGGGGCGTTCAGATCAGTACCATGTGACACCACCCCTTGCAGTCGTCACTGCTCGACACCGCCTTGGAAGGGATTGCACAAGTCTTTGGATATTTGCTTGGGGATATCTTCGCCATTCCTCCTGCAACGCGTTGGCAAGTTGTGCAAGTGTCTGAGGACGATAGTGACGTTTACGGCCGCGTCGATCAAGTTCGTCCTCCAGATGCTAGATCGGGTTCGGATCAAGTGATTTGGAAGCCAATGCCATTGACGTTTGCATTGGCTAGAGAGGCACCTGTAACACGAGCTGTTGTTGTAGAGCGTTGTCGTATTAAAACAGCTCCCTCTGGCGGTTAAAAAGTGAGAGGAGGTGAGGTCGCAGGATTTGCTGTAAGATTGGCGTGAACCACCACTAGTTCTGATCTACCCGTGTAGGACCCCCCTCCCCCCCCCCCCACACACACACACACACTAACACACACAAACACACACACCATGATGCAACCTCTACCAAACCTGTCCACCTGTCGAACGCAGTTCGGTGCAAAACGTTCGTGTCGACGTCGATAGGGACGATGTTTCCCATTTCGTTGTTGGAGGAGGAAACACGATTTATTGCTGAACCAAACGCGTCAGTAACCCAGGTTCCATGCCTGTATCCATGTTGTACCATTGGACGCATCGTTGTCAGTACCCCAGGTTCCATGTCTGTATCCATGTTGTGCCATTGGACGCATCGTTGTCAGTATAGTCGTATCAGGACAGGTCCAACTCTTGGTCGATATGCTCGAATTCTCACTTCTCTCAGGCGACTTGGTTTGACTGGAAATTCTTCGAAGACCAGGCACCTGTCCTGCAGTGTCCGTTGCTGTAGCAAATGGGTGAAATACCCGGATGAATCGGTCCTGAGCAGGAGCACTCACTCTTGGTCTTCCGCTTCTGTGACGATCTTGGGTGGAATTGAAGCGGGTAACTTGATGCCATAATCGAGATATGCTGCTTTACTAGACGTTAAAGTGTCTTTCAACGACAGAATGGGAGTTCCCTGATTCCAAACGTCCAATGGCGATATTTTGGTCAGTAGCGTTCAACCTTCGTTTACGTCATAAACTTTGTAATAAAATGATGAATTTGGTTTCCCTTTATGTAGTTGATGTTTCTACTCATGTGTCACACGCATTACATGTGCATTACGTGGAAAACGTTTTGTCCGTTTACAAACAAATTTTACGATGCGTTTGCGCGCAATACACAACAACCACGACATGATTAACGGAGTTGTTATGACGATTGCTGTAAAACTATATCGAAATGAACAGCTGAAAACGCCTGTGCGTTTCTTTTGTTTTGAAGAGTGTAGTATCCAAAATTGGGATGTCTGCAACAGTGAATATCTATGATTCTTAAGTTGAAGAGATGGCTGCTGATGACGTTTACGTCAATGTGGAATCGACCATGGTGAAGGTATCTGAGCTTCGAGAATACATCACGAAGGGAAAGGATAAGTTTGTGTCCGAGCATGAGGTACGTAAAAGTGTACCTACTTTATTCTGTTACACTGTGCCTATTAATATTTCTTTTATCTCTCCTTCCAAACCCAATAGGGCCGTACATTTCCGTCAAATAACTGACGTTTGCTTTGCTCCAAAACAGATATTACTGCAGATTTGTGTCATTACAAAGTAGTAATCCCATATGTGGCTGCATGAAATAGAACTGATGAGTCAAAAATATTCGAAGAGCTTTCGAGGAATGCATTATGCGTTCCATAGGGTATCTTACATGCTGCGTCTGCCATGCCGCAGACAGTGTCCAAACCAAATCTCAAATATTGATGGAATATTATAAGTCGTTCACTGGTCACGAGGGGGACGTGGCTTAATGCACCCTTTATGTTTGGTTCTAACCTAAACAGCCATAGAGGGTACATCAACCCATAGGCCCCGAGAGACCAGTGAACAAACGTATGTATCTAACCGTACATCGCAATATATTTGAACTATACAGTTTCTTTATGTGGCTAGTATATTTGCAGCACGGGTATTGGATCATAATAAGGAATAACATAATTAGGCAAGTACCCAATACCGACAACGACAGACGATAAGAAAAACAAATTTAGAGTTCTCTCCCTTCCATCAATTTGCATTCCCAAACATTTCCGTACATCATACGTGACTCGGTTATTCGAGATAAAGAATTACTAACACAAAGTACCAAATGGATTTCCACAGTTCAGTATTTCCAACGGGTAACATAGAAAATGTTACTCGCTTGTAAGCAGGATACATTGAAAACAATAGAAGAGCGTTCAGAGAGTCAAAAACGACGTTTCTATGTGAGATAAGATAACAATTGATGTAGTGTACACTCTGATGACTCTGATGATTGAAGTTGCATATGCACATTGTGCCCTCCATTAAGACTCTTATATCGAACATCTGTATGTATTTCATATACCTTAACTCAACTCTTAGTGAAGAAATAGTTATATGCGTCTGTATTTCCAGAGAGTGCCTGTGGGTCTGCTTCACCCCCACGCAGTCGCCGCCTCCCCAGAACACAGGCCCAAGAACAGATTCAAATCCTTATATCCATGTACGAGCTCTGCTTTTCATGCCTTTAACATAGAATAGTATATACTGCGACATACCACGAAAATAAATATTGACAATTCATCGGTGAAATAGAATATACAATTACGTGTACATCTAAGCTAAGTAATCCTTTCTCTACTTCTTTATTCAGATGAATAACTGTCCCAAGCTGCATATCGTATGATGCATAATCCGACTTTATATTTAGTCACCTGTAACATACTCAGCGTGTTGTCTATTATATCACATCAACGCTAATTCTGTAAGATCTATTTCTTAGAACGCTGTGGCATATCACCTGTATGGCTGCTGTACAGTTTAGTAAGTTTAGATCTCTTTCTGTTGATTTGTTCCAGATGACCACTCTCGGGTTGTCCTACAGAAGACGCCTGGGAACAAGCACTCCGACTACATCAACGCCAACTACATCGACGTATGTCTTTCTTATCATTAACGCTTTACATAGTTACACTGTAAGAAGTTATAAGGAATAAGTGACCTGGTTTGTGATGTGGTATGGACATACAGTTGGCCGTGTTTGGATATTTATTAGAAGTATTGACAGTCTCGTTATTGTTTGTAACGACCTTGACGGTCTAGTTCATGTCCCTTCATCAGATGACTATCGAGTACTGAGCTGATATATGATGTTTACTTTGTGAGTCGTTTCTATCTTTATAACCTGAAACCCAAAAGTCGATAACACCAATGCTGCTCAATAGAGTCACTTAGAGGGCTGAAAGTATGGTATAAATTATAATGTTTGCACACTTGTCAACAGACCTACACGAGGAAGAAGGCCTTTATTGCAACCCAAGGTAAGGTTTAAACCAACCTGTCCTTACACACTGATTTGCATTATGATCATAATATTGTAGATATGTCGCTGCTTTCGAGTTAATTCACCTACATTTCAGATACGTTTAAAATATATTCTATTATCATAATCCAAAGTTAACTCTAAAAAGCAAATCACGAACCCTGTCTCTTCAGTGATGACAATGTCCTGGGATATAATTCACTATGACAGGACAGTTAGAATGTCCTGTTTCAAGTGGCTGTGGCAGTGTCGACAGTAACAGTGTTGTGTATGTTCACAAGGCCCAATGCCCAAGACTGTGGGCGACTTCTGGAGGATGGTCTGGCAGGAGGAGACCGACATCATCGTCATGCTCACAAGACTCAAGGAGGGAATAGAGGTAATGCTGCTCCTCAAACATTCAATTTCACTGTCTGCTCATCTTTAATATTTCAAACATAATTGATTAATCATATTATATTTAATTATGTAACGGCGAACCTTTCCTATCGAAAGGCAGCATCTGGGATACACTGGAAACAGTTGCAAGTCTTGTATTGTGTTCTGCAGGAGCTGTAAAGCTAAGTTACCAACTGTGAAGGTTGGGGTATATATCTGTGTGTTGCTGTGATTGTCAGTGTCTATATATGTGTTGCTGTGAATGTTTGTGTCTATGTGTGTCTTGATGTAAATGTCAGTGTGTATGTGTGTGTTCCTGTGAATGTCTGTGTGTATGTGGGCCTTGATGTGAAATGTGTGAGTGTCACTGAGAATGTCTGTGCCTATGTGTGTGTTGCTGAGAATGTCTATGACTATGTGTGTGTTGATGTGAATGTCTATGCCTATGTGTGTGTTGATGTGAATGTCTATGCCTATATGTGTGTTGATGTGAATGTCTATGCCTATGTGTGTGTTGATGTGAATGTCTATGCCTATGTGTGTGTTGATGTGAATGTCTATGCCTATGTGTGTGTTGATGTGAATGTCTATGCCTATGTGTGTGTTGATGTGAATGTCTATGCCTATGTGTGTGTTGATGTGTACGTTGAATGTCTATGCCTATGTGTGTGTTGATGTGAATGTCTATGCCTATGTGTGCTGATGATGTGAATGTCTATGCCTATGTATGCCTGTGAATGTCTATGCCTATGTGTGTGTTGATGTGAATGTCTATGCCTATGTGTGTGTTGATGTGAATGTCTATGCCTATGTGTGTGTTGATGTGAATGTCTATGCCTATGTGTGTGTTGATGTGAATGTCTATGCCTATGTGTGTGTTGATGTGAATGTCTATGCCTATGTGTGTGTTGATGTGAATGTCTATGCCTATGTGTGTGTTGATGTGAATGTCTATGCCTATGTGTGTGTTGATTTGAATGTCTGTGAGATGTGTGTGTTGATATGAATGTCAGTGAAATGTGTATGTTTTGAATGTCAGTGAAATGTGTGTGTATGTTGTGAAATGTGTGTTGTTGAAATGTCAGTGAAATGTGTGTTGTTGTGAAATGTCAGTGAAATGTGTATGTTGTTTGTGAATGTCAGTGAAATGTGTTGTGTGATGTTGTGAATGTCAGTGAAATGTGTATGTTGTTGTGAATGTCAGTGAAATGTATGTGATGCTGTGAATGTCAGTGAAATGTGTATGTTGCTTTGAATGCCAGTGAAATGCGTGTGTTTTTGTGACTGTCTGTGAAATGTGTATGTTGTTGTGAATGTCAGTGAAATGTGTATGTTGTTGTGAATGTCAGTGAAATGTGTATGTTGTTGTGAATGTCAGTGAAATGTGTATGTTGTTGTGAATGTCAGTGAAATGTGCATGTTGTTGTGAATGTCAGTGAAATGTGTATGTTGTGAATGTCAGTGAAATGTGCATGTTGTTGTGAAATGTGCATGAATGTCTGTGAAATGTGCATGTGTTGTAAAATGTCAGTGAAATGTGAAATGTATGTTGTTGTGAATGTCAGTGAAATGTGTATGTTGTTGTGAATGTCAGTGAAATGTGTGTGTTGTTGTGAATGTCAGTGAAATGTGTGTGTTGTTGTGTGAATGCCAGTGAAATGTGTGCATGTTGTTGTGAATGTCAGTGAAATGTGTATGTTGTTTGTGAATGTCAGTGAAATGTGTATGTTGTTGTGAATGTCAGTGAAATGTGTATGTTGTTGTGAATGTCAGTGAAATGTGTATGTTGTTGTGAATGTCAGTGAAATGTGTATGTTGTTGTGAATGTCAGTGAAATGTGTATGTTGTTGTGAATGTCAGTGAAATGTGTGTGTTGTTGTGAATGTCAGTGAAATGTGTATGTTGTTGTGAATGTCAGTGAAATGTGTGTGTTGTTGTGAATGTCAGTGAAATGTGTATGTTGTTGTGAATGTCAGTGAAATGTGTATGTTGTTGTGAATGTCAGTGAAATGTGTATGTTGTTGTGAATGTCAGTGAAATGTGTGTGTTGTTGTGTCAGTGATGTGTTGTTGTGAATGTCAGTGAAATGTGTGTGTTGTTGTGAATGTCAGTGAAATGTGTGTGTTGTTGTGAATGTCAGTGAAATGTGTGTGTTGTTGTGAATGTCAGTGAAATGTGTATGTTGTTGTGAATGTCAGTGAAATGTGTATGTTGTTGTGAATGTCAGTGAAATGTGTATGTTGTTGTGAATGTCAGTGAAATGTGTTGTTGTGAATGTCAGTGAAACGTGTGTCTTGTTGTGTTGCTGAATGTCAGTGAAATGTGTATGTTGTTGTGAATGACAGTGAAATGTGTATGTTGTTGTGAATGACAGTGAAATGTGTATGTTGTTGTGAATGTCAGTGAAATGTGTATGTTGTTGTGAAAGATAGTGAATATGTTTATCTGAAAGTAGGTGTACATGGGGGTTCCAGGTGAAGTGCGAGAAGTACTGGCCGGAGGAGAAGAAGCGGCTGACACTTGGATACCTGACCATCACAAACGACGGGGTCACTGAGAGACCGGACTACTGCATCAGACGGATTACCATAGACCACAAGAAGGTTCTTATATACTTCTCAAAATGACTACTCAGGACGTGGTGGATGTTTGCAACATCTGACCCGCCTGTGTATTATCGTATGCATTACCCCACCCCTGTAGATCAGGTCCTTGTACCTCATGTGTGACCTGACTGTGTATCATGTAATACATTACCCCACCCCTGTAGACCAGGTCCTTGTACCTCATGTGTGACCTGACTGTGTATCATGTTATACATTACCCCACCCCTGTAGACCAGGTCCTTGTACCTCATGTGTGACCTGACTGTGTATCATGTTATACATTACCCCACACCTGTAGACCAGGTCCTTGTACCTCATGTGTGACCTGACTGTGTATCATGTTATACATTACCCCACACCTGTAGACCAGGTCCTTGTACCTCATGTGTGACCTGGCTGTGTATCATGTTATACATTACCCCACCCCTGTAGACCAGGTCCTTGTACCTCATGTGTGACCTGACTGTGTATCATGTTATACATTACCCCACACCTGTAGACCAGGTCCTTGTACCTCATGTGTGACCTGACTGTGTATCATGTTATACATTACCCCCACCCCTGTAGACCAGGTCCTTGTACCTCATGTGTGACCTGACTGTGTATCATGTTATACATTACCCCACACCCCTGTAGACCAGGTCCTTGTACCTCATGTGTGACCTGACTGTGTATCATGTTATACATTACCCCACCTCTGTAGACCAGGTCCTTGTACCTCATGTGTGACCTGACTGTGTATCATGTTATACATTACCCCAACCCTGTAGACCAGGTCCTTGTACCTCATGTGTGACCTGACTGTGTATCATGTTATACATTACCCCACACCTGTAGACCAGGTCCTTGTACCTCATGTGTGACCTGACTGTGTATCATGTTATACATTACCCCACACCTGTAGACCAGGTCCTTGTACCTCATGTGTGACCTGGCTGTGTATCATGTTATACATTACCCAACCCCTGTAGACCAGGTCCTTGTACCTCATGTGTGACCTGACTGTGTATCGTGTTATACATTACCCCACCCCTGTAGACCAGGTCCTTGTACCTCATGTGTGACCTGACTGTGTATCATGTTATACATTACCCCACCCCTGTAGACCAGGTCCTTGTACCTCATGTGTGACCTGACTGTGTATCATGTTATACATTACCCCACACCTGTAGACCAGGTCCTTGTACCTCATGTGTGACCTGTACTGTGTGTCTGTGTATGTTATACATTACCCCACACCTGTAGACCAGGTCCTTGTACCTCATGTGTGACCTGACTGTGTATCATGTTATACATTACCCCACACCTGTAGACCAGGTCCTTGTACCTCATGTGTGACCTGACTGTGTATCATGTTATACATCACCCCACACCTGTAGATCAGGGCCTCTACTCATGTCTGTCTCCCTCTCTGTATCTCTCTCTTACTCTCTCTCTCCCTCTCTCTCTGTCTCTCTCTCTCCTCTAGACCTCTCTCTGTCTCCTCTCTTTCTCTCTGTGTCTCTCTCTCTCTCTCTCTCTCTCTCTCTTTCTCTCTCTCTCTCTCTCTCCTCTCCTCTCTCTCTCTCTCTTCTCTCTCTCTCCCTCCCCTCTGTCTCTCTTACTCTCTCTCTCTCTCTCTCTGTCTCTCTCTCTCTCTCTCTCTCTCTCTCTCTCTCTCTCTCTCAGGGGATATTTAACTATGTACTCTGAAAAAAGAACATACTTTACATTACAGCTGAATGAACGCCGTCAAGTGATGCACCTGCACTATGTCTCGTGGCCTGACCATGACGTCCCATCAACCCCTGCGTTCGTCCGATTCTGGAAGGTGTTCAGCGCCATGGCGGATGACAGCAAGACTCCCGTCGTCGTCCACTGCAGGTTGACAATTTAGCCTACCTCTTCTTATCAGAGTGGCCTTTTGAAAACGTGATCATATTAAAAATTATCTCGGTGTGAGTGCATGTGTGAGTTACTGAGTTTGTTGTTGTTTGTGTTTGTTTGTTTGTTTGTTTGTTGTTGTTGTTGTGTGTGTGTGGGTGTGTATTATCAGCTGATAGCTGAGAAAATTTGGGCGTACGGCGGCTGTTTACACTCTGCAGGTACTCGTGACTGATAATTCCCTGGGGTGGACTGTATATAATGTGCACCCTAAAATAGTCTCATTGGAAAATATTACTGATATGGATTTTTCAGAATTGCTAATGCTGTGTCACAAACTTCATCGGACAGCAGCACATCCCAAATATATAGTATAGGAAATGACACTCCGATCCCCGAAAAAGTCATATTTTTACGATCCATTGCCCCAGTGGGAGTAATAATATGGTTGGAATGATGGTGGACATCATTCGACGTCTGTAAAATTATAAGTGAAAGTACGAGGTAATCACAGCTGGTTGTCTCTCGCTTGAGTGTGCAGATCGATCAGTAGCTCTCAATCGCTAATCACTATCAGCGGGCTTCATAGTGTGATGGTTTCCAGAGTGTAAAATTCGCCAGGACTACCAAAGATTGGTACTACTTTTTTTTCGACAGCTTTGACAATCAATTAGAGATATGGTAGGACTATATACCACTACGAATAGTAGTATAACAAATTTGCAACGGATGGCGATAGAAATCACTTTCCAAAAAATTGGCCTACAGGGTCGAGAAGTCCGTCGGAACGCATCTTCAACTGGAAAACACCGTGGAAAGCAACCTCATACCGGTGGTCCACCATCATTCCAACCATATTATTACTCCCACTGGGGCAATGGATCGTAAAATATGACTTATAGGGGACCTGTCGTCGGGCTGTCATTTCCTATACTACTTCCCTATATTTCCTTGGCTTGCTGAGCGCGAAATCTGTTGTCTTTTGCAAAACTGTGATATGAATAAACGTCGTTAGACTACGATAGGCCTGGACTGACATCCACCTTTCCTTCCTCAACCATCTTGTGTCGTCAGTGAGGCGCGGTTGTCCAGACTGTGTCACTGCTGTTGGGGGGTCATTCCCAATAATTACATGTGACAACTGACAACAGCCTATGAAGACAACAACAGAAGACGTGTGTCTGATGAACAGCGTTGTATTGGTCCGTAGGGGAATCGTTCCGTGTCATTATTTCAGATTTCAATTGTTAGTCATTTGTAATTGTAGTCACGTGATGTCATCGTCATAGTCTCCCTCATATTTCCAGTACTGGTGTTGGGAGGACAGGGACCTTCATTGCTTTGGAGGCCCTAGTGGAGCGAGCTCGACAGGAGGGGGTGGTGGACGTCAATGACTTCGTCCTCAAGATGTGTGCTGACCGGGTCAGCATGGTGCAAACAAAGGTGAGACAGAAATTGTGGTTTTATTGTTGATAGTCAGTGAAAAAAACGAGTTCAAAGTATTAGTCAAGCTTCATAAAGTAATATTGTCTATCACCCCATGCATGTCAGTTGTCAAACGGTGCCAGTAAAGTAACATTTTTCATACAGACACCGTTGAAAGATACACTTTTGTTTGAAGTTCAAAGTCAACGCAGTCGGCTCCAACATGATTAATTATGTTCTGGGTCTATGCCCCAATTTAACAACGGAAGCAGTGACCCCAACACAGCAAAGCCGTGGCTGCTCTATAACTATTCTAAACATAACATTATAGGATCCTACTTCCCCTGAATATGTCTTCATCAATGATAGTTCCCACTCACGTTTATTTGTCTTCACCAGGAGCAGTACCTGTTTCTCCACCAGGTGGTGCTGGAGGCTCTATACAGCGACATGACGCAAATGACGCTCGCCACGTTTGAGAGCCAGTTCAGCGCCGACAACCTCGAAATTGCTTCGGCTTCAGAGGAAGCCATCTTGAAAAAAGAATGGGAGGTAAAGTGCTGCCTTTACGCTACACTGATCCTACCGTGGGTGGTTTACAATGTAGGTTTACATTTACATTTACTGAATCAAGCAGTTGACATCTGTGTTTGATCCATCGTGTGGCCTATGGCAGTCTGTCAGTGTCTTGATTTTAGGGCCCTGCTACGTCCCTACAGCCCCCGTCACACTTTTGCGTATATCAAGTGCTTATGAGTTCTTTATAAAACAAATCAATATGCAGCCGTACACTCAAAGTTGAATTTTTTTGGATTACTTTCACTAATGTGTGACGCACAGTTAGCTTATAGATAACGAATTCGAGGCAAGCATTTTGTATGAATTGCGTAACACTATTTTTCTTGCTGCAAATTGCTTCATATGAAATGCGCATGCCATGCGTATTTCGGACACACCCATTTTCTGCTGACCACAATCCGACGAATGTCAAGCATATTCCGAGCATATTCCCGATGTATTAAAAAGGCGGTTGTTTCCGTTACCAGTGCAGATTCCATAATGTGAGCATCAACCTTTTGTCTTCATGGGCCGCCGAAAGCTTGAGTGTATCCTGGATGTTCGGCTAGTATGCTATCTGTACGCCATCTGTGCGTTGTTATAACTTACAAATATGTGCAATGCACTGCCCATCTCAGGACAAAAGGTACTGATTCGTGCAATACATTGGATTTGCAAAAAGGTCGTTCAGCGTGCGTGTATACGTCCAATATACGCGGCTCATAGCTCGTGCCAGGAGATCAGCTTGATGCCGCGTATGAACCGCAGGATACGCAGATATAACCCCATTTGGATTGGTGTGTTTTCTAGACTGTGTCTGGATAATAAAAGCCTGCGACAAATGAAAATTACCAATTCCTTACAAAGAGAAATTATATACAATCTAGTTCACCATGCCCACATTATTCCAGAAACTCAACGAACTGAAGGACGAATGGAATGCTTCAGAAACCAAAGGAGCTCTCCTGCCAGAAAACCGGAGGAAAAATCGTAGCAAGGACATTCTGCCAGGTACCATTTCTCCTACTCCAACTGTGTATCATGTTGTGGAAGATATTGTGATACCAATCAGCCCAGATACCAAATTTTGAACATGCCATAACTTTATTCGTTCTCTTTTCTTTTTAATTTTGTTGGGATTTTTTATTTTTGTGTTTCTTAAGAGGTGTTAGGTGACCTTCTGCACCTCTGATGTTCCATTTGTATACTGGATATTGTTGATTTGTGTTTAGTATCCGATTATATGATTTCATTAATTGAGGGATATCAGGACGATACCAGAGTATGGTTGTCGTTACATCAACACAGATGTGCACTGTCAGTACATATGTTATGTATGCATGCATGCTGCTGCCGCTGCCGCTGCCGCTGCTGCTACTTCTGCTGCGTTTGCTGCAGCGTTTTTCGGAAAACCACAAACTATTTTTTTGTTCAAATGTGATAACTAAGTGTTCTTTCAGCTGATAAATACAGACCGCTCTTAACTCTGCCGGTTGCTGAAAGTAACGATTATATCAACGGTGTATTCGTGCCTGTAAGTACGATGTACTTGTCAAAGATTCAGTTCAAACACATAGATTCATTTCGTATCTTGTACGGTATTGCAAAGGTCTATATGGATTTATATAATATTGTTAGATGGTTATACGACTATACGAATCTCGTTGATAATTCAAGAAGTAAAAATGTAGACTGTTATAAAATAGCCATTCAAGATATGAATTTGTAATAAAATAGCCATTCAAGATATGAATTTGTATTGTTTAATACTGATGTTATTACGATACTACTTTGTCACACGTACCTTGATGTTTCCGTTCTCAAACAGGCGGGATGATATCTCCCGATATCTGATGTCTCAATGCCCCCTACTATACCGCATGTCTCATTTCATGATTTTACAAACGCCTGTCTCGGTGAATTCCAGCTATATCAGAGGTCTCCATGTCTCCTTACTTTCACTTTCGTCTTTGAGACAGATGCCTGGGTGTCTCGGACATCTCATATGTCTCAAACATGTCAAAACATACTCATATACTACATGACGCGAATAGCTGCAAAATTGCTGGTGCGGCGTCAAGCAAGATTCACTCATCCACTCACCCAAACACAATGCTCAATCTAACTGCAACCTAACTCTAACACGTGCATCTTGGAAAACATTCTCCAGTTCATGCCTTTCACTTATTACGTCATCACCTTACTCAAACAAGTATTTCAAAGTCGCCTTACCCGAAACACATTTAATCACCTTCTAACTCCAACAAGTATCTCAACGTCAAGTCTCAATGTGTAGACGGAGACCCGCCAGAAATGTCTACTGGCAACACAGCTGCCTCTGTCGTCGACTGTGGTGGACTTCTGGAGGATGGTGTTTGACCACAATGTCCAGACCATTGTGTCTCTCGTCTCAGAGGAATGCTCAGCACAGGTAATATAACTTGGGCCACGGTGTCTCGTGACCGTCTGAATGTCTATTGACTGGTTTGGTATTACAGTTGTGAAGCAAACTATAATATCGTCCTCGTTTTGAAAGGACTTGGAGAAACAGGGATAATAATGGGCTGGGGGGGGATTATTCTGTGACCCAATGGGTTACTTAAGCGAACACACGTAGGCATCGACCAGAAGAATGTACAGATAATGAAGAAGGGATTCGCTTAGTGTGTTGATCACCAAAGACATGGAGGCAACGTGACAAATCACGGGCAGCTCAAGCTGTGACTTTCAATTCTCAAATAATGCTTTTATTGTGTAACATCAGTGCACCAAATGTTACAGCAGATAAGGACTTAGTTTAATAATTAAACTCTTAATTACATATAGCTTTATGCTCATAAGTTGTGTTAAACTGTATCAACATGTTTTAAACGTATACACGTTAACGTGGGTGCATGACAATACCATCCCTCATGTGTACATGTATCCTCACTAAACGCTTATCATGTATCTGATAGGCTGACGAGGCCCTATTTTGGCCGAAGACAAATGAGGTTTTGGAGTGTGGACCCTTTCGTGTCAAGAAGTTGGAATCAATGAACAAGGCTATGGCACTGAAAGTCTTGTTAAAGGTATGCAGAACATCTCTACGGGCCGTATCGCTACTGCTGTCGTCAGTAAGTGGAAGTTTAGGAAACAAATAGGCACACATGCATAGATAAACCACGACTCTATATATGGTTGAAATGTCACCTCTGCCACGTTACATTTTACACGTTGTTCTGACATACAACTCGTTCTCATCACAGGACTCTGATGAGAGCACCAACAAGGAAGTCATGTTGCTGTTTGTGAGTGACTGGGAGGAGGGTGAGGACACGCCTACAAACACATCACAGTTCCTGTGCCTCATCAACGACCTCGACTCCAGAATCGCCGCCGGCAACATCGCTGTCATGTGCATGTAGGTTCTGCCCGTCACTATCACATAAGTCCAAACTACTTTGGTTTACATTTTCATGTAATTTTAGCGAATGCATTTTGTTGTTAAGGCTTTGTTTGTATGTAATATTACAAACAATTGCTGCCTGAACTCTCGTGATAAAGGCAGCAATTGGCTCGTCAGATCTTTGGGCCAGCTGAAGTAGGCTCATGTCCAAGATGTTGCTGTTTCTGAGAGACTAGGAGGAGGGTGAGGACACGCCTACAAATACATCACAAATCCTGTGCCTCATCAACGACCTTAACTTTCGTAATATGTGTCCTGGAAGTTTTCCGTTAACAATGTATATACGTACGTTCTGTAATTTAGAATATGTACATGTTACACTCTGCGAGAATATGTTTTAAGTCGCTAATTTGTCACTGACTGTAAAGTGCATATGTGTAAAATTCGTCGCAGTGCGCCGTTAGTAAAATGATTTTCAAATATAATGCAATATGTTAAATAATATGAAGCATTAGCTATATCCGGTGTCAATACACTGTTCAGTTCATGTACAATTCCTGCCACACGGACAGACTTATCAGTATACTTCAAATCAGTTGTTTTACCATCACATATTGTCGAAAACCAAAACCAATTCAGTGCAAGTATATGTTTTATATTGTGACTACATGTTTTCGTAGATATTGTATTCTTAGGTAACTAACCGCCTCCGTGGTGTAGTGGTTAGAGCGTCCACCCGGAGAGCGGAAGGTCGCGGGTTCGATCCCCGACCGCGTCATACCAAAAGACGTTAAAATATGGTACTTGTTGGTCCCTGCCTGGCGCTCGGCATTAATGGGTACAACAAGGACTGGTCGGCTCGGAGTCAGTATAATGTGTCTGAGTGGGGTATTCATGCTTCACTGCGGCATGGTATCTTAGTGGGCTAGCACTATAAAACCAGCTTCAGCCTGGGCTAGTACAAGCAGCCGCACATACACATACACACGCATTCACGTCGTCATATGAGCGAAATATTCTCAAGCACGACGATTGAACCCAATTTCACCTCACCTCTGCATATGTTTAGAAGAAATACTTAAACGTTAAGTTATTCTGACTAAATGCGTACATCATTAGCAACGCCTAAGTGAATATATACTTTCCACTTGATATACGCTGCTGTCGTTCATTATCGTGAATTATTAAGTCGGAAAATATCCTGTAAATAGCAATCATTTGAAAGCTACGAAATTTAGTGTAAGTGTATTGTAGGTTAGTTCGTAAAGAACCGGGGATTTTCAGATTCCCAAACTGACAGACATATTCTACATAACTTTCTATATTGAGCCCGTTAACAGCTACTTCAGTTATAATACATGTAGTGAGTTTGTTTACATTATCAGTTTAAAGCACATCAGTTTAACGAATAAATGCTAACGCTGTAGAAACTGTGCAGCAATGCATCGGTAACGGTTCATTAGCATGCCGCCACGCTGGTCAGTACAGCTAGTCCACACATCGATTGCTTACTTGTGACCTAACGTACCGTAGTTAATCTCAGTGCGTTCTAACGATCAGTCACATAGTCTTTCATTTACATCCATGGAGTAGCTGTATATCACTCCATATTTTGAACTGGTTCAAAGATATTTATTTGTCAAATATATCATTGCTCATCAGTAACTGTTATGTTAAATTTACCGTACATCGGGTATTAACAGTACTTGTTAAGTAACACTGTACGGGCGTACCGTATTTGATGTAAAGGGCGCCCCTATATTGAAACATGGTCGCTGTTCAAGAAAGGTGCAATGTTTTATGAGTAAATATTCATGATAAATGAATACAGATCATGTTAAGTCAGATATTATTAGTACAGACATGCAGTTGTTAATTATAACTTTTTTAAATGTTTGTTTTAAACCTTCGTAACGGTAAAGGTACCTTGTATTGAGTTTAACTTAATTGATAATGATGTACTATATAGTAATGTTTATATGTTTATTCTACCCTTCTCAAGTGCATCACTGACATGTATATCATTGTGGTTGAATGATTTTGTATGACATTGAATCCATATATTAATATAAGAGTCTGACCCTGGAATAAAAGAGTCTGACACAACCACCACCAAAACCCCCTCCCCCCCTTCGCCAATTCTAGTAGTTTGGTGATAAACCAAACACGACTTCATAACTGTTGGTTAATGTGTTATAGAAGATTAATGCACTGGCTGTTGATGTTGCCTCGTCTTCCAGGGATGGTGCCAGCAAGTGCGGACTGTTGTGTGCTGTGCTGAATATCATCCAACGTCTGAAGCAAGACCAGGAGATAGACGTGTATCTGGCAGTCAGATTGCTGCAGACAGTCAAGCCGAACTTCGTGACTTCCTTTGTAAGTATTGAATTGTGAGATTGCCTCAAACAACCAGCCGAGTTAGTGAGGGGGTTGGTAGGTTTTATGGTCCTGTTGAACAGTATTCCTGTTGTGTTACGCCGTGATTTCCTGTGTGAATACGTGATAGTTGGATTGCTGTACGTGATCAGATCCAATTTCATGACTTCCGTTGTTAGTACTTGACAGTCAGATTGTTGCAATGATCGGACCCAGCTTCTAGACTTCCGTTGTTAGTACTTGACAGTCAGATTGTTGCAATGATCGGACCCAGCTTCTAGACTTCCGTTGTTATATTTAGTACTTGACAGTCAGATTGTTGCAATGATCGGACCCAGCTTCTAGATTTCCGTTGTTATATTTAGTACTTGACAGTCAGATTGTTGCAATCAGACCTGGGTTACATTTTACCTGCTAGTCAGACCTCAAGAAAGAAGAACGTGAAGCTAATATGTACGTCCCTCTGTCTACAGGCCCAGTACCAGTTCTGCTACAGGGTGATTAAAGAATACCAGAAGACTTTGAACAATGTGTACGAGTACATCATTGATTAGGATTTCATCAACGCTAACTGAGCAGACAGAATTACGAAACAAAGAGTTAATGTAATATGTCACAGAACGCTTGTTTTAAATGAAACATGTTTCTTGGACACATAGCATTACCAAACCTTGGATGGATACGAGAATATTTGGTTAGAATTCTAACCTACAGCTTTCTTTTCGTCTGATTGACAGTTGGCTATAGTTGGAGCTTATGCTTTATGTGCTATGTTTTTTAATGTTTTATAGTTTGTTTTTTGTTTATTCATAAGAAAAGGTTTGGGTACAAGTTATACGACTTAGAACACCCTCCTTGTAGTATTTACATATTAATATTATTTACATTAATTATACAAGATGGACAGACAATAACAGAAAGAGGAAAAAGAGGAACAATTGCAATACTTAAGAAAATCATTTTTGATTGACATAGATATGTTTGCACAGGTTTAGATATATTTTGATTTATGTGAACAATCATATCTGCATTGCCACGTAATAGTAATTCATAGTTTACATTCACACAGATAACACTGCGTAAATTAGTCATCATGCCATGAATGTTTTATAGTCATTTTGAGTCGAATATATTATCACCCCATGTTATTGTGGACACCCTGTGTCAGTATGTGCATGCATATTATTATTATATACAAACACAATGTGTAAGCGCTTCCCCAAGCATGGAACTTTAAACAACTTATTGAAGCTAAAATATTTCCATGTCAGCTCCCGTTGATGACAGCAGAATTATGATCCTCTGCTCAAAAGTACAAAATAGCATCCTGATGTAAATTCTCATAAACAGGATACACCTATATATCATCAAATAAGGACACACGTTTTGGTCAACACATTTTGAGAGAAGCACTGAAGTACTTCTGATGACAGCGACTGCATGGACTTCCTTCATGCTGGTGCTGACGTTAAGAAACATCAATATGTTGGATCAGATCCTTGTATCCTGGAGTTGATGCTGAGAGTTCCACCTCATCCAGCATGCTGCTCGCACAACTGTGTCAAATACATTGCACTATTTTATGTTACCATTTTTTAAACTGTTTTTCATAACTATACATATCGCTTATACTGAATGTTTTCCAATTAACCCCTAACCCCTATATGACCAATGTCGCTAAGCCCTCCTGTTGAATCATCATTTGGAAGTTAAGTGAAACTTAACTAATCTACACACCAATACATCCCTTTATTCAGTAATGACTGGTCACTTCGTGGACAATGCAGAGGTTTGTAGTGAGAAAGCAGATTTACAACAAGAAGAATTCATTTTCTAAATATCCGGTATGTAAGATTTTCTGATCATAGTCTTGAATGGGGGATTTGTTTTATAAGTTTATAACATAACATGAAATCGATACTGTTACCGAAATGATATTTTGTCTATGCCAGTAATGGAAACTATCAATGAATAATGTTCGTATTTGTCAGAAAACAAATGTCTATCTCAAAGTAGAAATGGTTCAGGCGAAACATATTGGGTGTCACGACAAACGCTGTGATCGTACACGTCTGAAAACGTCAACAAAGCGAAATGAATATTAGCGGAAAATAACCGTTGATCACATTGGTTGAAACAAGTACGTAATCATGACATCATACATTTGGTACGTGCAACTGAAATAATTAAGGAATGGTTGAATTTTACCGAGGCGCCATGACTAGCGCAAAGCCACACCAAGCTATGACCGTCAGTAGTTCTCCTGTCGACTCATTATCCACGCTGATACGTCAAACGTCCTTGCTATGAACATGACTGAAATATACGTTTCGACAATGTTCAGCATTTTTATCAATTAATACCATTTAAATCAATAGCTAAAATCCTAATACAATATTTTTGATCCACGAAGATACAGTGTCGCGTGAGCGCGATTCTCTTGCACAACATGACAAATAACTAGGTATCCAGGAATACTATTGCTTTTTCTTCGTATGTATACGCTCCTCTCGATCTGTGCCCACACGATCTTTCAATAAATATTTCGTTACATAAATTGTCCTTGTTTGTCTTAAATTTGTGTGGCAACAGAACACGTTCCTGTTGGACGATCCTTTCTGCCATTCCACCGAGTATATTTGTAATAGTTCTGTGAGACGTCTGTGGGTACATGATGGATCATTGGTAGTTGTTTTGGAACTTTATACATTTTCGATTTTATCAACAATCCTAATGGTAATTGATGTTCATATTATGTGTTTTACACATTACCGTTATGTTGTTGTTTGTTCAGTTCTGTTTTTAATGAAATTCTTAAATTCCTCAACGATGTTCAAACCGTGTAAATGAAATCAGTAGGGGGTAACTGCATTTGAGGCAAATTTGACAATGTCTTATTAATCAGAGGGACACACTGAAGCAACAACTGATCTCAGCTAAAATCATTTGTTTCTTCTGAATGTGTCTGTGTTGATCGAACAATCTGAATAATTCTGATTATTTTTTGTATTTGGAATAATTTGTGAGAACTATGTAATTTTGTTGTTGTCCCAGACACTTATCACATTCACAGGCTCCTGAAATCTCCTTACATCCCCAGACTTTCTTTGCTGTCCTAGACTTTCATCACATTCAAAGGTTCCTGAATCCTCTTTACATCTGAGACTCACTTCACATCCCAGACTCTCTTTATTTCCTGGTTGTCCAACGCTCTCCTTACACCCCCGAACTCTCCTTACAACCGCAGACTCCCTTTATTGTTCTGCAGTCTCTTCGCATCACAAGACTGTCTTCACTTGTCTGGTCTCACTTCAAACCCTTTTACTCTCATTTTACCATCCGGACTCTCTTTACCATGCACTCTCATCCCATCCCAAGATTCCATTCAGTAACCAGGATTCTCGAAACATTCCTTCTCTTTTCACTCTCTACTCCCTTCAATCCCCAAACTCCCCTTAGTGTCCTGGACTCTCTATGCTGACCACATGTCATGGTGTGACCAGGCATAAAGGAAAAGAACTCAGTGTCGGTGAACACACACAAACGCGTTTTTCTACCCCGTCATCCGATAAAGAATCAGATTGAGTTTTAGTGTCGTACAACTAAATACATTAGTTTTAGACAAACATTTACCCACATCCTGTATCCACCACCATGAACAGTGGAACAAGGAACAAAGGGGTTGCTGTTATTGCTAATAATCAATGTCGAGCTTTAAGCGTGCGATGTGATTGTCTGCCATACCCACCACTGATGCAGAGGGATGTGAAACGAAGTTCGTCTATCTGGTTCTCATCTCAGCCATGCACCGTTAGGAGGCAATGGTGAGCTGTTATCATATCACTGCAGATGAGACGTGTACATGATTTTGATGGAGATAGGTTACTGAGACTATAAAGCCAGTTCTGCGCTGCCATGGTGCATGCACGAATGAGTTCTACTCCACTGTCGGGTAAACTCGTGGACAACTGCTCAGAGAAAATCCACTGCAGGGGCGCAGGAATTTGCTTCGACTTTTAGTTGAGTGCCCAGTGATTCTTGTCTTGTAACCCCATACCTTTTCTCGAATTTATCAGGAAACAGGCAATTAGAAATGTGTACGAAATTTAGTAGACAACAGGTTTCCTCTGATGCTGCCCCTTCCAAATACAACTGAAATTATGTCAAAGTTGTTTTAATAAGACCCATCCACCTACATCTACACTAGATAGTACAAGGTAGATAAAATGACAAGGAACATTCTCGATCATATCGAGACGTGGATGAAGTTGTCTTAAATAAGTTAGTTAGTCTTTAATTAGACCAGGACGTTCTGTGCGTTCAACCCAACACTTTAACCAGGACGTGTAACAATGGGCAATATCCGGCTCTGGTTCACAAAGTCAGACTGTAACATCACGTTGCATCGTCACAAGCAGTGTTTGTTTTAAAGAATAACGACTTGATGTTGAGTGAAAATGGCTGAGGTTCCATTGCTCACGAATGACCGATATTCACGAGAAATGCATGTATTTCCGGTTGAACGTTCTGCTGACGCTTGGACACTGCTTAATATAAAACATAACGCGGCATCTCAGTATTATGATATAAGGAAACATTGCTTCTGGCATTATCCCTGTGAGTACAGTCACTTGGCCCCAAGCTGACTCAGAATGTATGAAGACATACAATGGCTGGAACTGTATTCGGTGTGACATGGACTGGAATCTGAAGTATATCCATTGAGGTAACCATCAAGCACCTGGAATAAACAACACCGAGTAATGCATTCCAGCTCAAGACCTTATTGTAAGTTTCCTGGCACACCAAAAGGATGAACAGAACATTAGGGCAAACATCCATCCCCATCCCCATCCCTAGCTCCCACAACCACCGCAGCTAATCCCCATCAACAGTGTTGATCAGTTGTCCAACCTTATACTGAACGTACCTTCTACCAGAGGAACTCATATACACACTTCTGCCTTGCTGAGGTCATTCTAGCCGACAAGGGATATTACAATCTGGGCGTTTCCACATATCGGGATTCAGTCGCATTAGTCTATAGTATCACAGAGTCGTCATGGGGCCAATCGGTGCTGTAATATAACGTATATTAGCATATATGTATGGTCCATGTACAATCGAATCCCCGCTCCATAGTTTATTAGACATGAACAGGTGCACACTGCATCGTTTGTCAGGACATTGTTCGAAACATGCTATCATTATTTCGAACAGGAAGGTAGTGTTCCTTGAACACAGACGTCAAATAGCGTGCCACTCCACAACGCAGTCTGCCAATACTGCAGACGTACCATAACGCGGACGTCAAATAGCGTGGCATTCCACAATGCAGTCGGCAAATAATGCAGACGTACCATAACGCGGACGTCAAATAGCGTGGCATTTCACAATGCAGTCGGCAAATAATGCAGACGTACCATAAGGGAGACATCAAATAATGCAGACGTACCATAAGGTAGACATCAAATAATGCAGACGTACCATAACGCGGACGTCAAATAGCGTGGCATTCCACAATGCAGTCGGCAAATAATGCAGACGTACCATAACGCGGACGTCAAATAGCGTTGCATTTCACAATGCAGTCGGCAAATAATGCAGACGTACCATAAGGGAGACATCAAATAATGCAGACGTACCATAAGGTAGACATCGAATAATGCAAACGTACCATAATGTAGAAATCAAATAATGCAGACGTATCATAACGCAGACGTACCATAAGGTAGACATAAAATAATGCAAACGTACCATAACGCAGACGTCAAATAAAGCAGACGTACCATAATGTAGAAATCAAATAATGCAGACGTACCATAACGCAGACGTCAAATAATGCAGACGTACTATAAGGTAGACATCAAATAATGCACATGTACCATAAGCTAGATATCAAATAATACAGACGTACCATAACGCAGACGTCAAATAAAGCAGACGTACCATACCGCAGACATAAAAAATGCAGGCGTACCATAACGCAGAAATCAAATAATGCAGACGTACCATAATGCAAACGTCAAATAATGAGACGTATCATGGACATCAAATAATGCAGACGTACCATAACGTATAGTGCTGACGTACCATAAGGCGAACATCAAATAGTGCGAACATACCATAAGGTAGACATCGAATAATGCAGACGTACCATAAGGTAGACATCAAATAATGAGACGTACCATAACGCAGACGTCAAATAATGCAGACGTACCATAACGCAGACATCAAATAATGCAAACGTACCATAACGCAGACATCAAATAATGCAGACGTACCATAACGCAGACATCAAATAATGCAGATATACCATAACGCAGACATCAAATAATGCAGACGTACCATAACGCAGACATCAAATAATGCAGACGTTCCATAACGTATAGTGCTGACGTCCAATAAGGCGAACATCAAATAATGCAGACGTACCATAACGCAGACGTCAAATAAAGCAGACGTACCATAACGCAGACATCAAATAATGCAAACGTACCATAACGCAGACATGAAATAATGAGACGTACCATAACGCAGACATCAAATAAAGCAGACATACCATAACGTATAGAGCTGACATCCAATAAGGCGAACATCAAATAGTGCGGACGTACCATAAGCTAGACATCAAATAATGCAGACGTACCATAAGCTAGACATCGAACAATGCAGACGTACCATAAGGTAGACATGGAACAATGCAGACGTACCATAACGTAGAAATAAGTAGTGCGGACGTGCAATAACGTAGAAATCAAATAGTGCGGACATTCTATATGGTGAATATCAAATAGTGCGGACGTACCATAACGTAGAAATCAAATAATACAGACGTACGATAACGTATAGTGTAGACGTACCATAACGTAGATATTAAATAAATGTAGACGTACCATTACGTAGAAATCAAACACTGCTGACGTACCATATCTTTATAGTTGCTATTAATTCAGATGGTATGCTGTGAATCAGGAAATCAGATTTTAACTGTTTTGTGTACAACATACCTTAGTTGTGATTCTACATCAGGTCGAAATGTGTTCCTTACTTGTCTTGACTTGGGTTTAACGCCATTTTGAACAGTGTTCCATTTATATCACGGGGTGTCAGCTAAATTTGGGAGGAAACCCGTATTCTAGCAGATAACAGACGTGTACGCCTTATGGGATACCCACGAGCAAGCACAGGTATGAAACGGAAAGCTAGAAACCTGGGAGCAAACGGGATTCGAACACGTTCATATTATCAGAAATCAACACGATTCATTTCTCCCGAGGAGTTAGTTATCACAGATTCCGTGTGACTGGCAACACTGTATGCATCTGTAACATATATATATGCATACCACTTTCTCAGTCCTTGAAAATCTACTTCCTTGTGTATGTGTGTGTGTGTGTGTGTTGGTCGGAGACATGGCGACGACTGATGCTCCGTGCATGCTACATCTTTGGCTACTCTGTTTTCTTCATGCATGCCTTTCGCAGCACGGTAAGTTATTTACTGTAATTTTAAGAATTTTTAGAATCGCAGTCTGTCAAATACCATGTCTGTA